CATTTTAAGCAAAATAAGGTGAACATAATTCATCTCTGATTTACTCGTAGTCTCTAAAACCTACTTATTTACGCAAAAAGTAATGTCGTCGATAGCTATAGCATATATAAGTTTGCCTCATCTACATTCCCGAAACAGAATGTGATATGCAAACTGCCTGACATTCCTGAAATTCACATCTGCCCTGTGATCCAAGGATAATCGTGGCAATGGGGCGGAGTGGTTGATGCGTCGAGCCTACACGCTGCACTGTCATGGTTCGACTTCATCTTGGGATTTTGATAAGACCTATACGAGGTCGAAATTGCAATCCATCCTGGAAGAGAACACCTTTTGGGAAAGGAAGGCTATGGGAAATTCTATAGAAACATCAGCTCTACTCATATCATTGTGGAAAAAATCAACTACCAATCCTTTATCATCTTGAACGAAATAGGTAGAACACAACTCATATATAATAATTTTGTGCAATTGTTTTTCGTTCACTATAAGCATATACGGGAAACTTATTTGCACTGTTTTCTAAATCTACTTAGCATTTGCGTTTTTATTTTTTATCGTTGAGGTGTAGAAGACGGAAAATGTTCATAAATTTTACTTAAGGAAGGGGCATAACTGGGTCTTCTAAACGAAGAATCACTACTGCGTTTACATTATTATTACACAGCAGATATTTTATACTAATTTCTATCTTGAGTCAACGTGTGCTATGATAAGATTCCAAGGTCATTTCGACCTGCATTAAGCGTCACATCACCATCGCCTCTACTTAATTATTCTTGTTGACAGTGCTCTCGAGGCATTTTACTTCAATTCCTATGAGAACGTTCTATGATTTCGCCTTTCATATGATAGAAATATTCAGAACAGGATATAATTCTTGCAACTAATTCAAGTTAACGAGTAATGGATACTCACTTTTATGAGTTATTGAGTGATCTGGCTAATTCCTGTCAGGTCAATATATAAGCATGTGCGTGTGATGATAATGTGTGCGCATGTGTATTAATTGGCACTAAAGCAGGAAGCCAGCCGTGATAATTTCAAGTAATTAGGACAGATTGTAGCCTCCGCCCTAGGCAATTAATGTGTATGGCCCCTTAAGACATCTCATTTTTCCTGTCGGCGCAACACCTCTATTCATAAGTCCATCAATTAAGCAAAATTGGGTCTTACTCAACTTGATTTTGACTATCTCGCTAATTTTGTTCTTATCTGCAGGCATTAAATAACCAGCAAAATATTGAGCCAACACCAAAAGAAGGTGAATCAATAAGACTTCTATGCGATGGTTCTAACTAGATTTACATTCGTTCAACAGTTCTATTTAGTTAATCATTAGATATACTGGATTACCCAATGTTTTTTCTTGGGCCGTTAAGCCTTGATGATCCTGGATTGATGAATTAACTAGTGCTCATCGTAAATAGATCTTGGACAAGAAGATTGCATAATTTAATGAAGGACTGATGATTAAATATTTTCATGACGATATGAGTAGGCTTCGCAGTCCCATTAAATTTTATCCAGTCCTGTATCATCTAGGGAGGACTGAAGTTTCGATCTCGCCTTGATTTAACTAGCACTATAAGGCTAGGTAAAATTAAATGAAGTCGTGAAGACTACTTGCATGATTATGGGAAAAAATCAGGATGAATACAGTTATTATCTATGACTACTTATTTCGTAGCCCAACTTAATTGTTTACTTGAAGGTATGAAGGCCAAGATAGTGTGGCCTTTTGTGTGATCGCAGTCTCCTTTCGTTGTATAGAAGTTGTTTGAGCTTGTTTTCGCAGCTTGGTCATATTGTTAGGAAAACTTAGAGGAACGAACCTAGTCCGGAGTCCATTGTATGCATCATCATTTCCAGAGTATGAGCGAGGACGTGGTACATTCCCAGACGTTTTGCCGGCATCGTCAGTGAGTCTCGCCATTCGTAGCACCGTATTACAACTCGTCAAATTGATAAGTGAAGCCCATACTTTGACCAAACGTGTGCTAAACAGTTGTGGTATCTCCCCTTCTACCCTGGGCTATTCAATTTTCTATATCCTCCTAGCATGCCTTCTCTGTCAAAATGTTTAACGTGCTTATTTTTAATGTAGTGTGGTGTGCTCCTTCGAGCGGCATTCATGAAAACCCTTCACACTCCTCGATGTCGTTATGAGCCCCTTCACCTTTGTGCTGGGAATGTTGACCAGAGTCTGTCATATTGTTATGTAGTCCTTCCCTGGGTCCTATAAGAGTCTCATTGCCCCGTAGAATCCGTCTGCTATCTCCTTGATACATGTATTTCACTCGGCCCCTGCTGCCCCCATCTGAGTACTCGAGGCGTAATTCGTCCATCCCCTACACCTGGGTGATTGATTAGAGGCTAAAGCCTCAGAGTAAGT